GTGCCCCCCCTTCTGTTTCCTGTGACTCCCCCCAATAACTAGCTGATAACTCGGCGTTGCCCGGGTATTTATTTATAGGGGGAAAATGTCACGACCAAATGTAATTTCTAATGTTGGGTTTTCCCCCTTACCAGAGGGAGCCCCCTTGTGGAATAATGCAAAGCTGTTACTGTGGCAATGCCACTGCGCTACACAGTAGAAGCCATTTTATGGCAGTACAGTAGAAGCCATTTTAAGTCACAACAGGCTGTATCTTAACAGAAACAGAACCTGAGGAGTTTCCAGAGAGTAAGCCATCTGTGCCCCAAGTTTGGTTGAAATTTCAGAGTCCAGATTTATGCTGAAACGAACACACACACACGATAGATAGCTGGATAGCTAGATAAATAAATAGATAAATAGACAGATAGACAGAAGATAGATATAGAAGTAGATAGAAGATAGATAGATAGATAGATAGATAGATAGATAGATAGATAGATAGATAGATAGATAGATAGATAGATAGATATAGATAGGAGGATAGATAGAAGATAGATGGATAGATAGATAGATAGATAGATAGATAGATAGATAGATAGATAGATAGAAAGAAAAAGATAGATATAAAAGAAGATAGAAGACAGAGATGGATAGATAGATAGATAGATAGATAGATATTTTTCCAAATCCTAACAGAATCTAGGAGGTTTCTAGAATCCAGAAAGCGATAAGTAAGAATTTGCCTTCCAAAAGTCACTTTCCATTTTGTGGAAAAAGAACGAAGTCATTATAGGGGAAACTTAGCCCGGATGTGACAAATTCTGCATGAGGGTTCTTGCCAGGGTAGACTAGATGTCCTTCAAGGACTCAGCTCTGTTAAATTCTGATTCTGCTTTCCGAGGTGGGAGGGTTACTGTCTCACTCAGCTATATTCCTTTCCATGTTAAGCGTGTCACACAAAGGCTCTTCTGCCTGAAAGCATTTTGCATCTCATAGCTGTTCTTTTTTCTATATTCTGGGATGGTTTTTGATATTTGTGGATCTAAAAACTGTGAATCCTTACTGCCTTCAGGAAAGATGGAGCCCCTTCACTCATTCCTTTTTTTAATTTTCTGTTTCAGGTCCCTGGAGGAGACGAAGAAGCTGAGATTCACCTTCTTCCTCCAGAAGTAAACAAATGAGAAGGTCCTTGCTATGAACTGTTCAACATCTGGAAAAATGTCACCTTTCCATCTCCTGCGAACAGATGCACTCTGTTTTCCACGCTCTCTAAATATTGTAGAGAACCCTTTAACGTTCAATGTTAATTCTTCTATTCAATATTCAGTCTTTCAATATTCAAGCACTGTAGCCCCTCCAGTCATGGAGACCTTTTTTTACCACAATCACGGGGATCAAATCTGATTGTCATGGGCATCAATAAAGGTTTTGTAGAAATGGAGACTTGGTTCTTTGTCTAAAGGAGGTGTTATGGCCCGCCAGCAGATCTGGTAGCAGATTCAGACAGTGAGGAGGTTGGGGAGGGAGATGGGTCAGTCCTGGAGACTGGGGAAGGCTCTGATGAGGGCTCTGTGTCGGAGGCAGAGATGGCAGTTATCAGCTATCTTTGGAGTCAGAGATCAGTGGGACAGAAGAACAGCTGGAGCCTGTTCCCAGTGTGTGCATGCACAGAGCTGCCAGACGAAGGGAACAGCTAAGGAACAAAGGTTGACTTGGGAATAAGGCCACAGGTGGACGGTGAATGGCCCCTCAGATAGGGAATAAAGAGGACGAAAGGGGAGAGGAGTTTGCAGGAGACAATTACTTCAATTCATTAAAGATCTGTTCCTGACTTCTTGCCAAATAATTGCTGTTAAAGCGTGGCGTTTGGAAGATATCGGCCTGGCAGCTCTCCAAGCCTGATCAAGATCTGCAGTTGTGAAATCTTTTGAAAGATTGTTGGCCGGGACTTTGCTGGAGAGGGATTCCCTTTAAACTAAATAAAAGGGGTTGTAGCGGGACAAGGGGTTGGCTTTGTGCTTTTGGGAAGCCTAGGTCAGAACAGGAGGGGAGTCCTGAAAAGCAACTATAAAAAAGGAAGTGTGCAGAACTAGGTGTGGCCCATTCCGAGTGCGAGGAAAGACCGACTCAAATTTCTCACACCACGTCGCGCACCTCTACGGGTTTGGGTGATGCTTGCTAGGCTCAAGAGCGAGTTGCAAGGCCGTGTGAGTTAGTTAGATCAATGGTTTTAGCACCTTGGAGAGCACCCAGCAACTCAGACACACAGACTCCTTCCGTTTCCCTCTCTGTCCAGCTTCAACCGGATTCCCCCCCTCCCCCTTGACCTCCAAGGCCCCCTGGCCTTTTCTCCCTCAAGGTCATAACTGACCTCAACCCAGGATGGCCGTTGGTACAAATAAATGAGCCGCCGCAAGGTTTTCTTTGCTTTTTTCCCCCACCTCCTTGTTTAGTGCCTCCGACACCGATATTTAGCGGTTGACTGGTTTTGCATGCGGATGGGCCCTTTCCACATGCAGCGGCTTACGCTAGCAGAGAATTAATCACAGCACTATTTGCGTCTTCCATTAAGTGCTAAATAGCAATGGCAATCACACTTAGGCTTATATACCGCTTCACAGTGCTTTTACAGCCCCCTCTAAGCAGTTTACAGAGTCAGCATATTGCCCCCAACTACCTGCGTCTTCCATTTGTCTGGGCAAGTTTCCCAATTGCTGTTATTGATTGTAAAACCGAAGCTCTGGGCAGCCATCAACGCCCATCACATTGCAAGGATTTCTGTCCTGGCTGGATTGATTCCACTGAGCTGGGATTATTTCCTCATTGTGAATTCCTTGGAATTCAGTTCAGGCAAAGAGCTACAGGGACCAAATTCTTACACTTGAGTTCAGCCGAGAAAGTAAGATGCCATGCGATGACTGAGTATGTACAAAGTGATTCACTAGAAGAAGAAGAAAATCCTCTTCCAGCCCCCCCCACCCCAATACCTTGTAGATGTTTCAGGCATTTTATACACAGTTCACAAACACGCACATTATATCAAGATAGATTAGATTAGAATATTGGAATGAAGAACAGAATAGAATGGAATAGAATAGAGCAGACATGATAAAGAGCGAATTGATTAAGAGCCGAGGTGGCGCAGTGGTTAGGGTGCAGTACTGCAGGCCACTTCAGCTGACTGTTATCTGCAGTTCAGCGGTTCAAATCTCACCGGCTCAAGGTTGACTCAGCCTTCCATCTTTCCGAGGTGGGTGAAATGAGGACCCAGACTGTGGGGGCAATATGCTGACTCTGTAAACTGCTTAGAGAGGGCTGAAAGCCCTATGAAGCGGTATATAAGTCTAACTGCTATTGCTATGATAGCATCTTCCAATATTTAAGGGCCTGCCACAGAGAGGAGGGAGTCAAGCTATTTTCCAAAGCACCCGAAGGCCAGAGAAGGAATAATAATGGATGGAAATTGATGAAGGAGAGATTCAACCTGGAAATAAGGAGAAATTGTCTGACAGTGAGAACCATCAACCCACGGAACAGAAGTTGTGGGAGCTTCAGCACTGGAAGCTTTCAAGAAGAGACTGGACTGTCATCTGTCAGAAATGGTGTAGGGTCTCCTGCTTTGATGAGGGGTTGGACTAGATGACCTACAAGGTCCCTTCCAATTCTGTTATTTTGTTCTGACTACTTGAATTTCAACTGGCTGGATAGATAATGACCTACCCATTGCAGACCCCCTCCTGGCATTTTTAATAAGAATAGAATAACAAGAGTTGGAAGTGACCTGGGAGGTCTTCTAGTCCAACCCCCTACTCAGGCAGGAAACCCTATATTATATCATTTCAGACAAATGGTGGTCCAATCTCTTCTTCAAAACCTCCAGTGTTGGAGAAGTCATAATTTCTGGAGGCAAGTTGTTCCGCTGGTTAATTGTGCCAACTGTCAGGAAATTTCTCCTTAGTTCTAGTTTGCTTCTCTCCTTGATTAGTTTAAGATGAGATCCTCCATCTTCAGAAGCACTCTACCTGCAAAGAGGAGCGGTTTCCCCCAAGCATTGGGAAGCAGCTGGATTCCTAGGCTGCATCTGCGCGCGCACAAAAACCTAACCTTGCCATGTAGTTTTTAAGGGGTTCCACAGATCACACAATTGGGTTGATTCTGATTTCGGCATGCCACATAGTTTGCGTTCCATAACTCGTTTTGCAGTAACGAATCGCCTTAAAATCCTGACAACTCTAGGGAGTGGTGCTCATCTCCGTTTCAAAGCCGAAGAGCCAGCGCTGTCCGAAGACGTCTCTGTGGTCATGTGGCCAGCATGATTCAACGCTGTGACCTTCCCACCAAAGGTGGTTCCTGTTTTTCTACTTGCATTTTTTACTGGCTTTCGGATTGCTAGTTTGGCAGAAGCTGGGACAACTCACGGGAGCTCACTCCGTTATGCGATGCTAGGGATTCGAACTACCGCTACTGTCTTAGCCCCTGAGCCACCGCGTCCCTTGAGTAGGCCATATATGGTAGCGATAAATGGCGTTGGGACACTAAAATGCCTGCCTTCTTTTGTGCCTTTTCTATACAAGGAAGTTTTCTCCGGGAGGCCTTTTCTCCCATTTGGGAAAAACGAAACACCGTCGTCCCACAAAGGCCATGGACCTGAAATGGGGGGTGGGGGTGGAGGAAATGTGAAGAATGCCCAGCCGAGGATGGTTTGTAATCTCCACTTGTTGGTATCAACCCGGACATCCCAGCAACATGAAATCATTGACTTGTGACTCGCATGCCTCTCAAAACAGCCGCTTCCCCCGTGACACCTAATAAAGGGAATCTTCTCTTTTGGAAAACACGGCATGCCAGCCCCGGCCCTGGAATGCGCTCCAGATAACCCAGGAAAGCAGAGCTGGCTTTCCGAAGGGTATATAAGAACTCGCGGGAGGGAAAAAGGCCAACAGAAAACCGAGGCTCCTTGGAAGAGAGAGAAGGTTAAGAAGCCCGCTCTGAAAACAGCCGACTCTCGATCGCCAAGCATGGATGCTAAGGGTTCATTCCTCATCATGGTCTCCTTGCTGTTTTTTCTCGGCTTCCAGCATCCGGCGGCTCACCCCATCCATAACCTCAGCCCGGCTGAAGAGCTAGCAAACATGGAGGTAAGAGAAACACGCTTCTTGGGGTTCCATCTGGACTTGGGGAATTATCCAGCAGGCCCTGGAAGTCATTTCGGCAGGAATTTTCTTTTGTCTGATATGGCGTAGGTATCTCCTGCTTGGGCAAGAAGACCTCCAAGGTCCCTACCAACTCTTCCTGTTATTCTGCCTCCCAGTAGCTGCAGGTCTCTTAGAGGTGAGAATCCTTTGAGGGGCTATGACGCCTAGGGGAATCCAGGTTCAGGAGCAGTCTACCCTAGAGGAGAGCAGTCGATTTAATACCCAGATTGGCCGACTCCGTCGGAAGCAGGGAGTTGATGTGGGAAGGAGGTGTTCACCTTCGGCGGAAAAAGCTGGGGTGTTGAGCCAGAGATAAAGAGATTGGACAAGCATTCTATCTGAAATGGAATAAGGACTCCTGCTAGAACAGGAGGGGTTGGGCTAGAAGACCTCCAAGGTCCCTTCTGACTCTGTTATTCTAAAGAAAGGACTGGCGTTGCTCTCAAGGACTCCAGGAAGCAGGACTAGCACCAGTGGTGGGTTTCAAAAAATTTTGGAACCTCTTCTTTAGGTGTGGCCTGCTTTCCAGGTCCACTGGTGGAACCTCTTCTAACCGGTTCAGTAGATTTGACGAACCGGTTCTACCGAACTGGTGCAAACTGGTAGGAACCCACCTCTGACTAGCACCAATGTTAAAGGTATTGTAAAACATGGGGAGACACTCCTGAAAAACACATGTTCTCCCCTTCCTTCAAATTACTTTAAGACAGAGTGGGAGCATCGACAGTTAAGGATCCCAAACAGAGGAAAAGAGGAGGGGGTTTCTTATAAACAGGGGGAACAACATTGGGGACAGTCAAATATGCCCCAAGAAGTGCCAGCTTCAGGTCTATTTTTCTCTAGTTTGCTTCAAAATGGCAAATTCCTGACTCTGCAGGGCAGTTTTAACTACCAGAATCAGAATAGAAAACTGCTGGAAGGGACCTTGGAGGTCTTCTAGTCCAACCCCCTGCTCAAGCAGGAGATGCTATACCATTTCAGACAAGTGGCTGTCCACTCTCTTCTTAAAAACCTCCAGTGATGGAGAGCCCAAAACATCTGAAGGCAAGCTGTTCCACTAGTTAATGGTCCTCACTGTTAGGAACTTTCTCCTTAATTCCAGGTTGCTTCTCTCCTTGATTAGTTTCCACCCATTGTTTCTTTTCTTGCCTTCTGGTGCTTTGGAAAATTGGTTGACCGCCTCCTCTTTGTGGCAGTCCCCCAAATACTGGAACACTGCTATCATGTCCCCCCTAGTCCTTCTTTTCTCTAGAATGGCCATAACCAGTTCTTGCAACCGTTCTTGTGTTAGGTCCTTAATCATCTTAATTGCTCTTCTCTGCACTTTTTTTTCCAAAGTCTCAACATCTTTTTTGTAATATGGTGACCAAAATTAGACATGGCATTCCAGGTGTGGCCTTACTGAGGCTTTATAAAGCGGCCTGAACAGCCATCTCTTGCTAAACTGAAATCACGTTTAGCAGGATAGAAAAACGTGGCTGCTAGTATCCAGTGAGAATTCAATTTAAGGCGCCATTAGTTACCTTATGTAATAACTTATCTAGCCTTATCTACGGGACGTGGCGGCTCAGTGGCTAAGACACGCTGAGCTTGTCGATCAGAAAGGTCAGCAGTTTGGCGGGTCGAATCCCTGGCGCCGCGTAACGGAGTGAGCTCCCGTGACTTGTCCCAGCTTCTGTCAACCTAGCAGTTGGAAAGCACGTAAAAAATGCAAGTAGAAAAATAGGGACCACTAATTTTGGTGGGAAGGGAACAGCGTTCCCTGCGCCTTTGGCGTTGAGTCATGCCGGCCACATGACCACAGGATGTCTTTGTCTTTGGAACAGAGATTAGTACCGCCTCCTAGAGTTGGAAACGACTAGCACCTATGTGTGAGGGGAACCTTTACCTTAATGATCCACAAAGACAATGGGTTGTTTTTCTTTGCAATAGACATGGCTGCCATATTCTGCAACTGACACAAACCTTCTCGGTTTCCATTCAAGGTTCTCCTGGAGAGGTTGGAGGAGAAAGTGGCCTTGATGGAGGACTTACAGGGCAACCCCGAAGACTCTGACACCCAGGGGGAGCGCCAGGCCGAAGAGGACCTGAACGATCAGCCCTTAGCCGATGATTTCCCCGTCTTCTCCGACCGAACGGCTCTGCTGAAACACATGAGGGGGATTCAGGCAGCCAAAAGCATGAGGGAATCGAGCTGCTTCGGACGACGGTTGGACCGGATCGGATCCGTCAGTGGGATGGGATGCAAAGGTGAGTCCGATCCTATTTTCTTGATCCACGATTTAAGCTTATTCAAAGGAATCCCCCCCCCCCCCTCATTTACGAGAAAAGAAAATACAGTTCCCCTCCCGGATTATAATAAAAAAGCCCACGTCCTCCAAAATGAGTCAAGTTAATATTATTTTAAGCTGCCCAGAATTATCATCTGGCAAAGAATGGGTGGCTAATAAATTTTACAAATAAATAAATGTGAGTTTTGACCCATTTTATGATCACATTTGGTCATAAAATTGCCCTATTTTCCACACTTGCCACATTTGTTTAGTGAATCATTGCAGTTGTCAAATTAGTGATGGGGTTATTACTAACAATGGATGGAAACTAACCAAGGAGAGAAGCAACCTGGAATTAAGGAGAAGCTTCCTAACAGTGAGGACAATTAACCAGCGGAACAGCTTGCCACCAGAAGTTGTGTGTGTATGTGTGTGGGGGTGTTCATCACTGGAGATTTTTAAGAAGAGCCTGGATATATCATTTCAGTCACTTGTCTGAAATGATATATCATCTCCTGCTTGAACAGGGGGGCTGGACTAGAAGACCTTCAAGGTCCCTTCTGGCTCTATTCTGAATTTGCTTTAAAAAAATAAAGAATTATCTACAACCGCAGTATTTCAACACCCACGTTGGAGATAAAGTAGAAAAGTGAGCTTCCGTTTTACGTTCAGGATCTCACCACTACTCAGAAGTTGACCCTCACACCCAAATGCAAATATTAGCTCTTTAAAGAGAAAGGGACACTCAAAAAACAAACAAACCAGGGTTATTTCAAGGGAATAAGCAGCTACGGAAATAGCTGTCAAAGTTCAAAATTAGTCCTGATCGGATTCAAAAGCTTTGTTTTTCTTTGCAAACTTTCACCTTTTTTCACAAGGACCTCCTGTGTTAAAAGCCACTTTTAAAACGATCCTCTTTCACGCCTCATTATTTCTACAAGGAAGTCTGTCTTTAATTTAGAAATGTGAGGAGGTTTTACACTTAGGCAGGAAAAAACCAAAGGTGCATAGTACAGATTAGGCGAGACCTGGCTCAAAACCGGCAACTGTGAGAGGGACCTTGGAGTCCTAGTGGACGATCCCTTAAACATGAGCCAGATGTGTGCGGCAGCAGCCAAGAAAACTAATGGAATCCTTGTTTGTATAAACAGAGGTATAGAATCAAGACTATGTGAAGTATTAGTATCACTTTATAAAGCCTTAGTAAGGCCGCATCTGGAATACTGCAACCAGTTTTATTCACCATGTTACAAAAAAGATGTTGAGACTTTGGAAAAAGTGCAAAAGAAGAACAATTAAGACGATTAAAGGCCTGGAGACTAAAACATATGAAGAACGCTTGCAGGAATTGGATGTGGCCACTCTAGAGAAAAGAAGGGCGATGGGTGAAATGAGAGCAGTATTCCAGTATTTGGGGGACTGCCACAAAGAGGAGGCGGTCAACTCATTTTCCAAAGCACATGAGGGCAGGACAGGAAACAATGGGTGGAAACTAACCAAGGAGAGAAGCAACCTGGAATTAAGGAGAAACTTCCTAACAGTGAGGACAATTAACCAGTTGCAATTAACCAGACAATTAACCAGAGAAGTTGCCCCCAGACGTTGTGGGTGCTCCATCACTGGAGGTTTTTAAGAAGGGATGGACAGCCCCTTGTCTGAAATGGTATAGTATCTCCTGTTTGAGCAGGGGGTTGGACTAGAAGATCTCCAGGGTCCCTTTCGGCTCTATTCTGATTATGTCCCAAAGGTGCTTTTTCAAAAGAAAACGGCACTCTTTTCTTTTTTTTCCCCTTGAAAACATTTCACTTCTTACCCCAAAAGCTTCTTGTGATGTGATCCCCTGTTGCGACCATCTGACAAGCAAAGTCAATGGGAAAGCCTGATTCACTTAACAACCGGGTTACTAATTGAACTACTGAGGATTCCCTTAACAATTGTGGCAAGAAAGGTCGTAAAATGGGGCAAGGTTTCACTTAGCAACAGAATAGA